AAAAAAAAAAAAAAAGAAAGAAACTTTATGTATTTATTAACTTTGTGATCTCCCCAGAGCCATCAGAAGGAAGAGGCAATGGTTTTTCACATCTCTGATACCATGGATACTTAACGCTCATGAATTTCATTTGGTTTCCAGAAATATTCTTCTGTTTCCTTTTTAAACAAGAACTTTTTTAGTAGAATAACTATATATGCCATGATATTCTGCCTAGCCATAATGTAACGTACTCTGTTTTAACAGATATCAGGTGGTTTGCTGTGGTAGAGGCGTTTTGTCTTTAAAGGTATCGATTGAAGCTTCAGGGATTTTGTCAACTTTGAGATTTAGAGACACCATTAGAATCACTCCTACCTATGTTGCTGAAGGAAGATAAAGCAAAGTGTCATTGTGTGTGCTCTTCTGTCCTGCTTTTCACACTCCAGTGACTGTAGGACCCAATATGGCCAGGGCCAGTAGGGAGAGGGTTCCCCTATCACTTGACAGATTTAAGTCAACTTGGGAGATGTGAGTTCTTGCTTCTCAGTTAGATAAAGACTCATGGGGACAGGATCATTTTATTTTCTCTTGCTCTGCCTTGCACAGTGCTAGGCCCAGAGGTGCCAGGCTAGATAGCTCCTTGAATGGAGATGTTCAATCTCGTCTGCTTAAAGAGTGTGCTTACTAGGAGCCCTGGGAGGGAGAGCATGGCCTCTGTTTTCTTTGCCTGTGCCTCAGTTTCAAGTATTCTTCCCATATTTATTAATTGCCTCTTGTGTTCCAGGCACATGTGTATATGTTGATGATGCATTGCAACTAAGACTTTGCCTTCTTAATGCTTTCATTCTAATGGAGAAAGATATAGTTTATGTGTCTGGTGGTAAAGAATGTTGTAAAAGAAAATAAAGTAGGGAAAGGGAGTGGGATCTTACTAGATGGAGCATTCAGAGAAGGTCTTTCTGAAGAGTTGCAGTTTGAGCATGGAACTGAATAGATCAGGTGGTTGAGGGAAACTTTTAGGCATAGTGCAAAGGCTTGCTTGACTTACTAGAAGGATCCTAAGGAGGCTGGTGTGCAGCAGGAGCCACATGAGAGGATGAGAGGGAACTAGGAGAGATCACATGAAGACACCAGGTCACAGGAAAACTTAAAGGCCATTGTTAGCAATTTACATTTTTCTTTGATGCAATGGGAATCCATTAGGATGTTATAAAAGAATCACTTCATGACTTCTGTGTGAATAAACTGTAGTAGTATAAATAGAAAATAACATAGTTGGCTGGGCGCCTGTGGCTCAACCGGCTAAGGCGCCAGCCACGTACACCTGAGGTGGCGGGTTCGAATCCCCAGCTCGGACCCGCCAAACAACAATGACGGCTGCAACCAAAAAATAGCCGGGCGTTGTGGCGGGCGCCTGTGGTCCCAGCTACTTGGGAGGCGGAGGCAGGAGACTCGCTTGAGCCCAGGAGTTGGAGGTTGCTGTGAGCATGATGCCATGGCACTCTACCCAGGGGGATAGCTTGAGGCTCCGTCTCAAAAAAAAAAAAAAGAAAGAAAAGAACATAGTTTGAACTAGGGAACTGGTAGGGTGGGAGGAACATGGGACAAAAAAAAGAACTCAGGCAGTGTAGCTCAAGTCTGTAGTTTTATCTGGACTGTAGCATTAATGCAGAGTGTGGCCCTCAGATTAGCACTGTGCTACAGAGAGAGACTAGCAATCAGGAGTAAGCATTTGAAACAGTGCTTTTGGGTATTGAACATGTATGGTAAGGCCCATGTATTGTGAGCTTTCCAAAAGTACTGATTATGATAGAATGCCCCCATTATCTAATGGCCTGGTGTCCTTGTCTCCACAGCCACCAAAACCCTCAACAGAGGTATCTCTGAGTTCATTGTGATGGCTGCAGATGCTGAGCCACTGGAGATCATTCTGCACCTCCCACTGCTGTGTGAAGACAAGAATGTGCCCTACGTGTTTGTGCGCTCCAAGCAGGCCTTAGGGCGGGCCTGTGGGGTCTCCAGGCCTGTCATTGCATGTTCTGTCACTATCAAAGAAGGCTCACAGCTGAAGCAGCAGATCCAGTCCATTCAGCAGTCTATCGAAAGGCTCTTAGTCTAAACCTGTGTGACCTCTGCCACACTTGCCCTGCTGACTCCTCCCCTTGAGCTTGTGTATCATATTGTTTGTGTTAGCATGTAGTATTTTCAGTTACTTTCTGTTGTTATAAAATATTGTACTAAATCTGGTTTTGGGATTTTTGTATTATTTTTCTTCTGTTTTACAGGGTTGTCCGTCCCCCCCCCCCCCCCGAACCCCTTCACCGTCTCTCTGCCTTCCCTTATCCTTTTATCCTCCCTTTTCAAAAATGAACTGATGCTCAGAACAGATGGAAGCAGAGTGGTAGTACCATTCAAAAACATGAAGAGCGGCTTGGCTCCTGTGGCTCAAGTGGCTAAGGTGCCAGCCACATACACCTAAGGTGGTGGGTTGGAATCCAGCCTGGGCCCACCCACCCAAAGCTGCAACCAAAAAATAGCCAGGCATTGTGGTGGGTGCCTGTGGTCCCAGCTACTTGGGAGGC